ACAAAGCCTGAAATGTGCTCACCTTGATGGGAGTGTACCATTTGGACTGTGGCGGGGGGTTGTAGATGGGAGGAGGTCTCGGCGGAGGTCTGCGAACAATCGGTTCGTCCTCGTCCTCCGGCAGAGTGACCACAGCGTTCTTGGCTTTCTCCAGCCGCGAGCCCTCCTCCGTGGATCCCTTCTGGCCCCAGCGGACCTACAGGAAGCCCAGACAGATGACCGACACCATAGACTCATCCAACTCAGCGATGCTTCACGTCTGTCTGAAACGTGTCTCATTTACCTCCATGCGTTTGATTCCTCCAGGACCTCGGCCTCCGTAGTACGAGGCGTCCACCGTCGGCCACTTGTGTTTGGGCGAAAGCTCCTCTTCTGGCTCCTTAAACAATAAAAGTTAGAGTTTAAGTTAAAGGACAGGTTTCCAGCATTTTTCAAATTGTATTCTATTAAATTTGTAAAACTAAATTACACGTCTGACGTCTGAACATGAAACAACAATGTCACGCTGAACATGCTGGATATTTAATCCACTTGCTCTCTCTGAGGACGTCTCTGATCTGGAGCCTCTGGCCTCACCGAGCCCCAAAATATTTATTGTTCTGTTCTATTGCTGCTCTCCATCTGCTGTCCTGCTATCCTGCTATCACCCCCACTGGGTTTTTTCTTTTTGGTTTCTTCCCACCGTTGCCGACTGCTCGCTCAGAGGGAGTCCAGAGACACTTTGGATTGTTGGGTTCTCTGTTTAAATTCTAAGATCTTCACCTTATGCAAGATGACATAAGTTGTGAACTGCGCTATACAAATAAAATTGAATTGAATTAAAAGCTGAAGGAAATGCTCAGGAGCTGCAGGACTATCAGTGGTTTCCAGGCCTACAAAGGCTTCTTCAAATCTCATGAAAATTTGCCAAATTTAACTTAATGTTTCATTAAATGTCTTGACACAGAGTTAAGCTTAAACAAAAGTATGTGTTGCACTATTATTAGCTTTTATTTTTGTTTAATTTTCAAAATTTGTTTTAACTTTTGTTTAGTTTTGTTCATTTCAGTTTAGTTTTTATCATTTAAAAATGTCTAGATTTGGTTTTTATGAGTTTCTGTATAAATTTTAGGAGCTTTTTTTCTAATATTATAAATAAAAATATTTCTTAGGAGATTAAAAAGTTTAGAATAAATTAGACTCACAGTCGTGTAGACAAACTTGTGCACTGAGGCCTCCTCATGTTTGTTCTGCTGACAAATGTAATTAAACTGACAAAGATTTAAACTAACAGCGACTTCATATGTTTATTTCATTTCATTTTAGTTTTGTACGTACACAATATTGCTTCGGGTAGTTTTCATTGTTATCTCACGTCCACTGTTAATAAACTAAATTAATTTTATTTCAATCAAATTAATATTTGTAGTTGTAAACGTGGTTCCAAACACGTTGTTCAGTGAAGAACACAACTTCTCAAACACAACCAGAGAACTGAAGCTCGACAGAATAAAATCTGCTCCAGCATGACTTCTGTCTCCCGTCCCATCGCCACCTACGCTCCCTCTGCTTTTACCCAAATGTGGATTTTCTCGCCTCTGTCGCTGCCAAGATGGCAACGTGTGGTGAAATTCAAACTTCAGCCTTCAAAACAGCCCTCGGGGGACCTGACGTCCTTCAGAAAATATGTTTTCAAAGATCTGGAGTCGACTCACAATGACAGGAGGTGGAGGAGGAGGAGGCCGGGATGGAGGGGGGTCTCTGATGACCTGCAACAAACAATAGGAAAGAAATAAGAGAGACGAAGAGGGCGACACAACAACAGCCAGTCATAGAACAACAAAAAGATCTAATATATGCTATATTTCAATATAAACTGAGATAAAAAATATCCCAGTTTTCGGGTTCCCACAAGGGCAGGATTAGAAAAGCAGAGTAACAACAACAATCATGTACAAAGATAGACGGTAAACTCACCACAGTGCAGCAAAGAGGCCAGAACCACCAGAGTAAAGCCAGGGCCAGCAGCAGCAGCAGGGCCAGCAGCAGCCACAGCACCCACAAGCCACTGGACTGCAAACAACACACACGGATCAGCTGCACACGTTGTTAATGAACCAGCAGGTGTGTTAATGGATCTTTAACTGATGTCTCTTATGTCATAATAGCATCGTATCATGACTGTTTGGATGCGAGGCAGCCCAGATCTACCAGCTCCCCTGTCATTATAAAGTCTGATACTCACACACGATGTGGCGTAGATGGTGATGGGACTGGAGATGTAGGACTTCCCATTGTTGAGGCTAATCAGCACTTCAACTGATCTGTAATCATCAAGCAGAAACCAAAAAANACCCTGGAGAGGATTGTGAAACGAAACCCATTCAAAAATGTGGAGGAGATTCACACAGAGTGGACTGCAGCTGGAGTCAGTGCTTCCAGAACCACCACACAGACGTATGCAGGACCGGGTTTCAGCTGTCGCATCCTTGTGTCAAGTCACTCTTGAACAAGAGACAGCGTCCGAAGCGTCTCGCCTGGGCTGAAGACACAAAGGACTGGACTGCTGCTGAGTGGTACAAAGTTATGTTCTCTGATGAAAGTAAAGTTTGCATGTTCTTTGGAAATCGAGGTCCCAGAGTTTGGAGGAAGAGAGGAGAGGCACAGAATCCACGTTGTTTGTGGTCGAGTGTAAAGTTTCTACAGTCAGTGATGGTTTGGGTTCCATGTCATCTGCTGGTGCTGGTCCACTGGGTTTTCTTAGATTCAAGGTCAACGCAGCTGTCTACCAGGAAGCTTTAGAGTACTTCATGCTTCCTGCTGCTGACCAACTTCATGGAGATGCAGATTTCATTGTCCAGCAGGACTTGGCACCTGCACACAGTGCCAAAGCTACCAGGACCTGGTTTAAGGACCATGGTATCCCTGTTCTTAATTGGCCAGCAGACTCACCTGACCTTAACCCCATAGAAAATCTATGGGCTATTGTGAAGAGGAAGATGCGATACGCCAGACCCAGAGCTGAAGGCCACTATCAGAGCAACTTGGGCTCTCATAACACCTGAGCAGTGCCACAGACTGATCGACTCCATGCCACGCCACATGGCTGCAGTAATTCAGGCAAAAGGAGCCCCAACTAAGTACTGAACGCTGTACATGCTCATACTTCTCATGTTCATACTTTTCAGTTGGCCAGCATTTCAAGAAATTCTTTTTGTATCGGTCGCAAGTAATATTCCAATTTTCTAGTATAGTAAATTTGGGATTTTCATTAGTATTCAGGTATAATCATCAAAATTAAGAGAAATAAACATTTGAAATACATCAGTCTGTGTCTAATGAATGAATATAATGTACAAGTTTCCCTTTTTGAATGGAATTACTGAAATAAATAAACTTCTTCATGATATTCTAATTATATGACCAGCACCTGTATACTTAGAGATG